CAACCATTTCGTCTTCATTTGTGTTAATCTTACCAAAAATCTGATCGAGGTGTGGGACTCGAAGAAAAAACTATTTCATCATCTGGATGCATTGATGGCAGTGCTGAATTAGTAAGCGATCCTAATAACATATTATTTTCGAATCACACATACTGCTTTCTAATGTTTCTCCCTTTAATGTTGCTCAGTGTCCGAAGAAGACATATCGGTGGGACGCCGGTCCCATTCAATGTTGTCGAAATAGAGAGGAAGTACCTATCATAGCCGGCGGGAAACAATGAATGTGGGTTTTATGTAATGTGGGCAATGATTCGCTACATCGGCGGGAAATCGGAAGAAGCCGATAAGTTAGTGTGTATAATCCCCATTTCATTTATGTTTGTTAATAATTCAACAAAATGATTTACTGTTCCTCTTTGGATATCATCTTTTCTGAACGACAGCGCAAGAAATATAACCACCAAAGGCTGTTAGACATGGAGATCGTCGCACTGCAATCGGAGCTCGCAAAATTCATCTTAGCCGAGGTATTGGAAAAAGATGGAGTATTTTCCATTGCACAATCCGTGAAGTACAAGGACCAGTATGGGCCAGAGTGGCTCGCTAGATTATTGTAGGAAGTCCAAGAAGCATTGCACAATCTGTGAAGTCCGAGAACATTTGTTTTTTATTTTGAGGGATCGAGATCTGGATAAGAACATTTGAAGTGTAACCGTAACATTTGTAATGTTTAATATTGATGGACTTGTCGTCTACGCGTATATAAAGCGAAACCCAATTCCACAAAAAAAATATAAATTAAAATCAATTATAAAACAATAAAATGCGAACGGGCCATCACTACCAGTTAGCAATGAACCGGCAGTGTTGTCGTAACCATCACTGTCGGTTATCAACAAACCGATAGTGTTGTCTTGCTCAACACTGTCGGCTTGAGTCATGAACCGACAGTGTTGGCTTGCTCAACACTGCCGGCTTGAGCCATGAACCGACACCCTTGAAGCAACCATCACTGTCGGTTGTTCAACTAGACACTGTCGGGTGGAGCCAGGAACCGACACTGTTGCCTCTAGATTAGTGTCGCTTTTTAAGAACCGATAGTGATGTCAGCCCCCCATCACTGCCAGTATGACACTGTCGGTTCAAAATCCGCAGTGAAAGGGGTTTTTGAACCGACAGTGATGTCCAGATCTGGGGTAGTGAGTAACAAGGCAAAAATGGATTGCCTATTGCACAATCAACTGCCTTCTGCTGCCTGTTACCCTAGGTGTGGGTTGTAGTTGCCGCCGGATGAACCTCCAGCCGTGGGTGCTAACACCATCTGTGTGACCACATCCGCAATGCCGCCGTAAGCTGGCAGAAGCCATAACTGCACTGATGTTTCCCAATCTGCTAGCACACCTCAACTTCCACGGGGAGCTCCTCTCCTTGCGTGCTCGCCGCCGGCTACCGCTGCGCTGCAACTATCCACAGGTGGATCTAGATCTCGGGGGTGGGGGATAGACAAGAAGAGAAAGGAATCTGGGAGGAGGGGGAATATGGGGGCTGCGGTGCGGAGAGGAGCGCCGTGGGCGGCGGTGGGGACCGACGATTTGGGAGGAGGAAGATTCAGGAAGAGTGGATTTGGGGGAGGACGAGTGTATCTAGGAGAGGAGGGAGGAGTCATGGGCGCGCCCGCACGTGCGAAGAGAAAAGGAGTGTCGGGGTTATAACCCTGGGGTGTCTCAAGGCACCGATTAGTTAAGCAGGTCGAGCGGCCCATAACACATCAGTTAGCAAAGGCCCAAACGACCGAGGCACAGTTAAGCCAGGCGAACCAGGCCGGACGCTAAGGCCGGGGTCAGCCACGACCCCTCCTTCGCGCCTTAGCTACACGGCGCTAGAAAGGCGCACGACCTCTCTCCCATCACGACCCCTAGAAGGAACGACAAGAGGTCGAGCCCGGCCAAGCGCGCCCGTCTCTGACAGGAACGAGCACGCCACACAGACCCCGTAAGGACCAAGGGGACAGCAGCTACCTCGGTCCGGTCAGACGCCATCCCTGTGCCATGCCACACAGACAAGACAATACCGCCCAAAGCGGTGACGACAGGTACGATAACCATCGGCCAGATACGTCCCGACGAGACAAGAGTACGATCCTACCCACTATGGGATGGGATCCACGGCGAGGGCCTCTACTCAGAGGCCATCCAGGCTGGCGGGAACCACAACCCCAACGATGGGGATCGTGCCCCCCCGCTCCTCCAGACAATAAGGCAACCAACAACCCAGGGGCGGCCACCAACTCTTGTACGACGCCCCAGGAAACCAGGAGATGATGGCGAAGACCACGGCGAAGACCACATCGCATAGGACGACTAGCGAACTACCATCGTGCCTACAGTGCCACCACAGCCGGCACAGTAGCACCATGTCACACCATGCCGAGACGTGGCCATAAGACCATGACGACAGCCACGCCCGGACGCACCTCGAAAGACGGCGTAGCTTGCAAGCCAAGTTAGCTAGGACCTCCCTCAGGCTCACGGCCCTTCGATCGGGAGAACCTATTGCTTTGTATGCGTCCTGGCCCCGAACTCTATATAAGGGCAGCCAGGGCACCCTTTCCAGAGATTCTGAGTCCCCTACTCATTCGCTCACTCTCCATCGTAGCAGGGCTCCTGAAGCTTCTCTTCGGGTTGCCCGTCACCTAGGTTAGGTTCTTCTACCTCTTCCACCATTCTTGCACCCCCATTATAAAGACTTTAGAGCATTCAAGCGAGGAACACGCACTCGATCATCTCTGAGACTGGACACAGGGCTCCGGCCTGAACCAGTATAAATCCTCGTGTCTTTTGGATGCTACCATCGTCTTCCTAAAACAGCGTGGTAATCGTATAAATTTACTACTCCGACTTATGAAACACCGACAAGAAGCGAGAAGAATTTTCACCTCGCACGTTGCGTGTCTGTCTCCGGTGCGTGCCGAAATTTTTAGTTTGGCTCTATGAGGCGTGGGCCAAGCCACACGATTGGAGCGCGGACTGGTGTATTATGAGCTGTGGGCGCGGGCACGTTCGATTCACCCCTTCCCGTGAAAAGTGGTTTTTAAACATGAATTCAAGCTGGGATGATGCTAAGTCAGACTTATTACGTATACAAAACTCCTTCAGTTTGACTGCCCCAAGAGGTGTGATCATGCCCATCATTTCAATGGAGAATCAAACTAAACTGCTAATTGTCTTACTTTTATGGGGTTGGTGGGATGTGAGAAATAAAACTAATGCCGTGAAATTGTCAGAACATGTGACCAAGTAATTCACAGGGTATTGAAATTGAAGCTTTGGTACCTGCCAATAAAGTGAAGGTTCCAAGTATAATAAAATATTGGATCCCTACTCAGCCTGGAAGATTGAAAATGAATGTTGACGACGCTTTTGAGGCTGCAAACAAATCTGGTGGTTGGGGTTTTGTACTTCGGGATCACGAAGGAACTGGCCTCTTTGTAGGAGCTGGTAATAAATCAGTGGCGGATCTACACTTAAGCTGTACGGCCCCCTGACCCCACAGGTTTTGCCACAACATGTTAAACCCCCTACATAACACTTGTTAATTTCCTTGCAATTAATTGATCTTGTGTATATCTGTGTAAATCTTGGCCCCACAGGATTTGGATCCTGGATCCGCCACTGGTAATAATCGACCATGAGCACGCGATGCCCTATGTGCAAAGACAGAAGCTTATCTTGCAGGTCTACAAGTAGAAATTGCGCATTGGGATCTCACATGTATATGTGGAAACTGACTCTTTGTCGCTAGTCACATCCCTTAAATCGTCAGACTATGACCTTGCTCCAGGTGGTGTCCTGTTTAGGGAGTTACGTCTTCTTATACCTTTTGATTTCTCTCATGTTGATATTTCTTTCTCGCCTCGTGCATGTAATTTTTGACCTCATGGGTTGGCCCGTTTGGGGTCAGGATGGGACCTGGGTCATGCTGAGATTTGGGCTTGCCCCCTCCTGAGTTTTGTAAATGACTTGATGATCAAAGATACAACTCATCAGGAACAACAATAGTTTCTCAAAAAAAATCAGGAACAACAATAAAGGGGAGGTTAATTAAAAAAAACATGTACATCATTCCAAGGAATACTACATTACCTGTTAAGTTTGATGGTCCTTGAACTGAACTCAAACCAGGGGTGGCCAAAACACCTCATACCCAATCCCTAAACTCAAATTACTTGAACCCAAACCTGAAATACCCGTCATAATTTTGGATAGCAAATGTAAAAACCCGAACTTAATTCATGTAGTTCAGGTAATGTTCACTGATAAATATTTTCTTTATCCCTTTTCAGGCTTTGGTTAAAAGTATTTTATCTCCTTTCACATCCTAATTATTATATTTTCTCATTTGCATCAAATCTCCCTATGTGTTTGACATGTCTTTAGTTGATAGTCTCTCATGTGCCGTGTCCACCGATATTTTCTTACCATATTTTGTATATAATATAATTTTTTTATAAAACATAACAAGTCCGGTGGCTTTAAAATAATTTTTTTTTACAACAACAACTTTTAATATATAACGTTAAAGCATAGTACACCAGTGTGGGAACAGAATTCTCATATTACAGAGCACAGACAAGTAAAAGCTAGACATAGGTGATGCTTCTGTCGGAGTCGCGTGGCCCATTGGGGCCACAGGGCCCACGAGAAGTGGTCACGATAGAAGCATCGAGGGTCCTCATTCTCTCATTCTCGCACTCCGATAGTACAGCCGGCGCTTCCCTCGACTGTCTGATCGATCTGTGTCTTCGAGGACAAGTAATATTGAGCCGTAAATAAGATGGAGGTTTCACCGGGCTCACTAAATTGGATCCAAAACCACCAATACCAAATCTAAAGACCTGCTTCAACCGACGTTGACCGTCAACCCGAACACCAATTGCTCCTTTACCACTTCCGTCCCTAGACTAAACGGAAAAGCAGGACAAGAAGCCTGCTCTGTATGCGTCATTTGGCTGCCGCCGCCGTGAACGGAATCGGTGTTGACGTGGCCGGCGCGTGTCCACGTGATGGAGGAGGCAGGGGCACCGAATCCTCTTGCATGGAGACCACGTTGCACCGGTGACCGGTGAGGCCCATTGCGCAGTTATTGGTCCGCACAGTGCAGTAGGAGGGCCCCACCACGAACTGAGAAGGACATCGCAACTTCCTGCATGTATCACATGTAGCGTAGGCGTGTCCCTCTGTACAGCGGCGGGGCCCCACAACACATCAATTCGGCCCCACCATGAAACACTGGAGCTCCGACGAGCGAGGCGGCGGCGGCGGCCCGCGTAGAGCTGGAAGGTGGCATCCCGCACGAGCGCATCGGCGTGGTGGCTCGACCTTGCAGCCCAGGAGCGAGCACCGCAGGCACCACTCGCGGCACCGGCGCAGCTCCTCCCGAACCTGGCGTGCTCCTGGAGCGGCCACCGCAGCCCGCACGCTCGGCCCTGGCGCGGCTCGTCGCAGCCCCGGCTCGGCCCCGGAGCGGCCGCCTCAGGGACCACGCGCGGCAGGCGCGACTCATCCCGGCCCCTGAGTGACCACCGCATCCACCAAGCTCGGCCATGGTGCAGGACCTCCCGGCGCGGCCCCAGAGCGGTCACCGCAGGCACCACGGCACTGAGCCGCAGCACAGCGCGGCGGGTGGCGACGTCCAGCCCGGCATACTCGCGTCGCAAGAGCTCTGCGAGCACCGGCGCGGCCACGAGGTCGTCGATGTAGGTGACCTTGACGTCACTGTTGTTGGAGTTGTTGCTGAGCATACTTCTGCCTTGGCGCTGAATGGATTGGGGCGGCACCATGCAGCCCACATGGCCATGGAGAAGACAAGGAAGAAGCACTGGAGGGAAAAGGGGGCTTTATTGTAGGACTCACCTCGTCATTTTGAAAGAAGCTCCCTCCGGCCACCATGGCCGCAAGAAGTCAAGAAGACGATGGTGAGGAGGACTGAAGTCCTCAAAACACCCATCTAGGGACTTATTCCACTAAGGAAACTCTGCTGAAAGGGAGAGGGGCCCGGCCCACCTACTCTCGACGCCGGCGAGCTCGCCGGAGAAGAAGAGTAGGGGGCCGGTGCTGGAAGCCACTCGGGCTCTCAGCTCACACAGAGGCTCACTCGGCAGGCTGAGAGGAGATGGTGAACAACTGTTCTGCCCATCCCCTTCAAAATGATAATTAGAATCTACTAAATAGATAACTAAACATTTCTGATTTTATGACAATTTTTAGAATTTATATATTTTTTATGTTGCGCCTCCGGTTAAGTTAAAAAAATAGTAGCATAAGATTGTCGCCATACAAAATGGTATATATATTGATGAGTAACGTTGCACGTGGCCTGGTTGGCAATCAAGTACAGGTGTCTGTTGTCAAAGTTTCCTAAGGTATGCTAGCTTCATATACCATTTTGGTTTATGCTAATTTATTATATAAGTAAAACACTGTTTATTTACTGAAAAGTACTCGTAAAATAGTGCTGAACAGGACGACAGACCACCACCTAAACACAGATCGCAACCTTGCAATGCAAGTTGAAACACGACAGGAAACTAAACCTGCTGCTGCATTTCTTTTTCTTTTTGGAAAAGGACCAGAAACCTGCGATCTCGATGGAAGCTGCAACTGCAATGAAGCCCATTCTCCTCTTCTTGCTGACCTTCCGGCTGCTGCTCTCCAGCTTCTCCCTTTCGATCCAAACCCAGTACACCTCGATCTTCAGCTTCGGCGATTCCTTCACCGACACCGGCAACTTCGCCATCATCGCCGGCCCGACGACGCCAGGCCTGCTCATCACCAAACCACCGTACGGGATGACCTTCTTCGGCCACCCCACCGGCCGCATCTCTGATGGTAGATTGGCCATCGATTTCATCGGTAAGTTCCCTTCTTTCGTTTCAGCACCGAGGCCACGTCGACTTACGCGCTTAACGTGCACGTACGCGCAGCTGAAGCCCTGGGATTCCCGCTCCTGCCGCCGTCGATGGCGGCGAACCAGAGCTTCAAGCAAGGCGCAAACTTCGCGGTGGCCGGAGCCACGGCGCTGGACCGAGCGTTCTTCGTGAACGACGGCGACACAGCTGTTACGCCGTACAACATCTCCGTCGGCGACCAGCTCGGGTGGTTTGACGCCATGAAGCCCTCGCTCTGCGATTTCGTCGTCGGGGAGTTCGGTTGGAACGACTATATACGGGTTCATGCTGCTCGCTCGCAAAAGCGTTGACGAAGCGCGGTCTCACGTGCCCGAGGTCGTCGGGACGATTTGCGCAGCCACGGAGGTACGCGACCGAATCAAGCAAGGCGTGCGTGATCGAGCGAAGACAGTTCGTCTGATCCATGGCTGCGTGCGCAGAGACTGCTCGTCGCAGGCGGCAAGACGGTGGTGGTGTCGGGGCTGACACCGATGGGGTGCGCGACGGGGAACCTCGTGCTCTTCGCGGGCAAGAGCGCCGAGGACTACGAGCCGGCGACGGGGTGCCTCAAGGACCTGAACCAGCTGTCAAAGGAGCACAACCTGCAGCTCCATCAGGCGCTGGAGCGGCTTCGGGCCACGCGCCCCGGCGCGTGAGGCTCATCTACGCCAACTTCTACGCGCCCATCGTTGACTTCGCGACGTCTCCCGATCGCTACGGGTTCAACGGCACCGACGGCGCGCTGAACGCTTGCTGCGGCGGCGGCGGGCGGTACAACTTCAACCTCACCGCGGCGTGCGGCATGCCCGGCGTGAGCGCGTGGTCTGACCCGTCGGCGTACGTGAACTGGGACGGCATCCACCTCACCGAGGCGGCGAACCGCCGCGTCGCCGATGGCTGGCTCAGTGGCCCTACGCTCACCCGCCCATCCTCGACACCTCACGGTTGTCTTTTTCTTTCTTTTGGAATGGACCGGTGCGTTTTCTGATAAAATCTGCATGGGGCAACCAGCATCCAGCAATCTGGGGCGTGTTTGGGAGGGTGGCTGAGGCCGGCTTGGCCCGCCCGCCTGACCCAGGTCAGTCCAGGCATGCCTCAAGTGGTACATCAGTTTTTATTTGACATCCAGTGTGAAACGAGCCATGTTCAGTGGTGGAGCTCAGGGGGGGCCGGCCGTCAGGAATTATACTTAGGGGGGCCGGCTCGGTCTTTTCATTGCGATAATTTTATTATCTAGTTGTGTTTTGTATAATTATATTATCTAGAAGATATTAATAGATATATATGACAAGATTTTTATATAATCTCCCTCTTAATATAAATAAAAAATATTAAGTCATACTACTATTTTTTGTTGTTGTGAAACATTGGGGGGGGGGGCCATGGCCCCTGCCAGCCCCCCCTTGGCTCCGCCAGTGGCCATGTTCACTTGAGATTGTGTTTGTTTGCACACATGCAGCCGGGCTGAGGAGCCAACTAACTCCAACTGTCAAATCAAGATTATGTTTGGTTGTTGGTTGCCTCGGCCAGGCCCATAATCAGAATGCATAAATGCAGTTATAGTAATGAAATGAGCAATAGTTTGAGATCCATTGCAACAGGTTTGACCAAATTAACCATACAATTAGTGCGGTTAACAGCACTAGGCCTCAGACAAGTTAACCATGGAGTCATAGCTCCTCTAACTTTATAAAAGTACCAATGAAGCAAGACAAAATAACAACATCAACAGCCTAATCAGTAAGTAGCAGTCCTTGAACAACACATAGGAGATATGTAACAAAAATGAATGACATAAATTAGTAAGACACAGCAGCAGCTCATCCATCATCTAGTTGTAGTCATCACAGGCCTAAGTGGGGCAGTCGTAGCAGCCAGTATTGCCCCCCTTCGTCCATAGTCCAAACAACAAGATAACAAGTGAGGTGATTAATACTTTCTTCCACCAACTAGCCTTATCATTACCATCAGAAGGAGCAATGATTGGAGCAAAAGCGTCATCAGGAACCGGATCATAGGGGAGGGGAGCTGCTGTTCCATGAGATGGATTGACATCTCTCATTGCTATCTGAAAATCTCTGACAACCTGCTCATAGTTGCTATACTTCTTGTATATAGCATTTTTAACCCTAAGAACTTGCTTACTGCACTCATGCCAAGTCAGGTAAATCCCTAGAGTCTTCCCATATAAAACCACATAGCAAGTTGCCATTTCTATGAAATGAAACAATGGTTTAGCCTCAGTCAAATGTAATGCATGAAACTAGCCATGAGTGCGGAACTTAAAGATCTATGGTTTGCGATAAAACAAATTGTTGATTTTAAGTCCCTCACTGATGACCAGCATCATCAAGTTCAAATCAACAGTTATGACATCACAGGCATTGTAAGAAAAGATTGACCTCAACTTTAGAATCTGGTGGTGTTCATCAAGTTGAAATCATTGGTGGCTGCCATACAAATAAAAAACCAGTAGAACAGCAAGTTATAAACTACAGGCAATAGAAAAACCAAACAAGTGCAAATCCAAGGTCATGGTTGCTATGGAACCCTAGTGTGCATATGCATTCACTGCCATCAGCATAAGATAGAAGGTGTTGTTGCTAAGGGAATGGACCAAGTAAACAAGGCAGCCACCTCATGTATATGTTGTTTGCATCATAGGCCTTATAGATTTTCCACAGTTACCACCAATCAAAAGAAATAAAACCAATAGTTCATAAGTAAGAGAATAAGGAATAACTGATCTCAAATAAAGAAGCCAACAAAGGCTACAAATAGTGCCTTACAACATGATTGTTCTGCCCAACAGTTCTGGGCTCAAATGCCTACCATGGTGTCCAGTAGCACAAATAGTTAGCCACCCTCCCAGTAAACAAAGCAAAAGGACAGGTGTAAGTTAGCTAAGTAAGCTGCACAAAATACCTACAGCTCAACTGTAGTCAAAAGAAGAGAGAGTGGGTGAGGGAGGTGGAGGAACTATACATCTCTACAGTCAACCTCCTCAATGCACATGCTTGCCAACATGTACAGGAACTACATGTAGTAGTTCTTGGCTAGGCAGTTCCTAAGCCAAATGTCTCTATGGCTGTTACTCATGCCAACAAAGCCCCTGCCTTGGACCTTGTTGTCCAATAGGTAGGTGTAGGCAACTATCAGTGCCTCCTCAGTAAAACTAGGCATCTCCATCACAACAAGGTAGAGGTCGGCATCAACATGGGCTGGTCCAGTCTCCCTAAGAGCATTGGCAACATTGTTCACAACATCAGACATATTGGTCAACATAAGCATCTCATCCTCACTGAAGTTGCCTCTCTTCCTCTTTCCACCTACAGCTGAGGAGAGGAGCTCAGTTGCCTTGCTGCTGCATCCTACATCAGTGTGGGCCTTCTCAGCAGGCACATGGGTAGAGGAAGGATCCTCTACCTTAGCAGCAACACTGTCAGCCTAGTTGGGCCCTAGGGCTTCACTAGAAGCAAGTGCAAACCTACCAGTGGCCATAGCATGGCCAAAGATGGACTCCACTCAGTGTAGAACCTTATAGGGCAGTTTAGAAATTCTGCATCTTTAGGATGGTCTTGCATTAAGGGGGGAGGGAGGAGGGGTACAGTTTTAGACAAGTAATTGAAAGATAGGTACAAGGAGACATAGGAAAGAAATCAAAGTTCTACCTTGCAGTGCCCAAGGTAGTGCTCTTGCTCAAGCATGATAGCATTGGTGTCACTATCCCATAGTGCCCCACTTAGGTCCTTGAGTTTACAGACCGTAGACCACTTCTGCCTCCACTTCCTCAGGTGGTTGTACACCTAAGTTGGGCTCACTGTCTCCTCACTGTACTCCTTAAGGGCTTTGGCAACATGGTTAACATCCTTATCCTTGAAGACTTTATCAGGCCTACTACCATCACTAACAAGCTGAGCCATCCTCCTAAGGACAAAGCCAGAGGTGTTGTTGTTCCACCACATGGCCCTAGGACCCCTTGCACCAGCACCGACAGCACCATCACCTGCTGCTACAACAGCAGCACCAGCAGTAGCTGATGCACCTTCACTAGCAGCACCAGCAGCACCAATACCAGCTGCAGCTGCTGCACTAGCACTAGCTGCAACAGCAGCAGCAATAGCACCCCTAGCAGCCCATTGACTACATCAGAAGCAGCCACAAACCCACCCTGGGCACCAAGCACATCAACTGGGAGTGGAGCCATCCTATTTGGTATTCTAATTAGAAAGTAGGAGAATAATATCAGAATCATATGTACACATAAGTTGTGGCCATGGAACACCGCCATGCAACAACAGCAGCATAATTCATCTATGCTGCTACCACTGTATGGCTGAGTTTCATGGCCAGAGACCATGAAACAGTGACAAATGATGAAATGTGAACATGAACCAAACAATAAACAATTGAGTGGGATAAAAACTTGGTCTCAGGCTTGTCCAACAAATTATTACATAAACATCACACAAACATGAGTTCCATAGTAGGGTAAACAAACTAAATTTAATGACAAAGTTACTACATGATCAGATCCTAGAGGTACCCCTCCCTTCCCACATAGCATTAAAGATGGCATCCCTCCTAAGTGCTATGGCATTGGAGTCTTAGAACTGGCTCTCATTATTGGATAGGTTATCAAGTGGGTCAGGTTGCCTGCCAGTGAAACCCTCCTCAGGTAGCACAACTTGGTTAATACCAAAACATAGGATCCAATTGTGCATAATACAGTAGGCCAATACAAGCTTGACCTGAGTCTTGTATGGGTGAAAGGGCTTGTTATCTAGGATACGAAACCTATTCTTCAGTGCACCAAAAGCCCTCTCCACAATGACCCTTAGTGATGAGTGCCTTAGGTTGAAAAGCTCCCTTGCATTGGTTGGGTGGTTTCTGCTCCCAAACTCAGTCAAGTGGTACCTGACCCCCCTGTAGGGGGGTAGGAAGCCATTGCGGCATGCAAAGCCAGCATCTACCAGGTAGAATTTACCTACAATTGGACATCTATTGTGAGTGTGTGTGCCATTGTTAAGGACATAAGTGCATTGACTATGTAGTGTAGTTACCTTCAAGTACAGTGAACCCATCATTCCTCTCTACGGCATCAGCTAGGATAAGTGCATCATGGGCAAAGCCCTCCCAGCCAGCAAGGACATATGTGAACTTGAGATTAAAGTCCACAGCAGCCATGATATTTTGTGTGGGGTTGTGTTTCCTACCCCTGGAAGTAGCCTGCATGTGTCTAGGCACCCCTGCCAACACATGGGTGCCATCAATGGCACCAATGCAGTCCTAAAAACCATGGAAGTGAGATAATAGTACATGTGAATATGCACATCTACCTAATGAAGGAACTTGTGCTTCACAATTACATTCAAGAATGGATTCCATCTATGGCTTCCAAGTACCTTTGGGTGAATGGTAGTGTTAGGAGGCTTGATCATCTCATTCCTAAACTCACCAACAGCATACAAAACCTGGTGGAAGTGTCTGTGCACTGTCTCAATGGACCTCCTAAATGACTGGTGGACAACTCTACATCTTTGGTTGTGACCAACTACATGAAGGAACATTGCAACCTGCTCAACTATGACCCCCTCTCTTTCAGACAATAGGCTCCTAGCTCTAAACAGATTGCATAAAGCAAAAAAAGGTGCTCTGGACATCCTAAGCATGGATAGGCACTCTCTATCATTGGAGTTATAGATTAGGTTTAGAGTCTGCTACCTGTGCTGTTCAGCTTCATCCGTAAGTGCATACACTAGAGGGTCAGTGTAACACCCTCGGTGTTACGCCCTAAACAAATTACCAAACCATGTCGTGAGCATCATGTCTATGTGATAATGCATGTGATGAAAGATGTAGATAACATTTTTGTAGCTTCAGATGATCAATAAAAATGTTAAATGATAAGCTATTCCATAACTCATATGTATCAAGTAGGGTTTAAAACTATTTTTTATTGAATAAAAATACTATAGAACATATATG